TTATGGATGCCCAGCACTTTAAAGATCAAACCCTAGAACCTAGTAGCCAAGTGGACTCCATTGCAATGGTAGTCCTCATTGCAATATGCACCCCCCATGTAAGGCCTTGTACAGGCCCTCCCACAGGGAATGCTCGAAATGAGGGGTTCCCAAAACCCAAACCCCATGAGCCACCTAAAGATGGAAGCTCATTTGCGACTTGATCACTTAAGGATGTCACAATCAGCGGCATCATCGCTGGCGAGTATGTGCGCGGTCTCAGCAACTAAATGGGAGGTCGTTGGTGCCATGCATTCGCTCGGACGAACCCAAGACCCTTCACCCCATGAATCCCCTGTACGCGAGTGATTGGCTTTTCCAAATGAGCGTTTCTAGCAATCATTGTTTAATATCCTCGTCAGGACCCCTATAACCCTCTTGCCATCCCTCATACCCCCCGGCGGGGCCTAAAGACCTCAATCGTCTTCAGGGTACAGGGCTGAGGGTCGTAAATGGACTATGAGAGCACCCCAAGCGGTATTTTCCTGAAAACGGGGACCGCAATATAGATCCCAAGATATCTTTATCCTTATTATGGGGACCTCCAAAAAATGGAGCCAGAATTTTCGGGAACCCTAAAGACTATATACTATATATATCTGTAATATCCCTATGATGTTGCACCCTCTTTCTTTACTCTTAGGCCCCCCCCAACAATAGGGCCCCCAGAAAAACAGAAATCAGAACTCCTGAATAAGTAGTGTCCCACGGTACTGAGGGCACCGGGAGGCCTTGGAGATTATTTTAAGAGGGATGGTCTGGATTCGGTCCCGTATTTTTAGGGCCCCAAAAACAAAACACATTAAACGGGGTCACCCAAACAATGGCCATGTCCTGAATAAGCGGCGGCGACAACACATTACAGAGGGTCCTAGCCTACACAAAAGTAAGTGCAACATTGTGCCCCTGTAAAACCCCTATAAGCCCCTTGAAGGGCTACTTCCCAGAAATTCGCATGCGCTGTTCAAAAGCTATGCAGGTTCCGGATTCCACCAACCACGGCAAGGTGGTGTATAAGAAGAAGGAGAAGTCCCAAGGAATAGACGTTTCTCAGTTGCAGATGGGTTGGTATTTTTGAAGTTCGAGGAGGTTTAGGGTTTCGGGTGTGACTACCGAAGGGGAGTTTCCCATGTAGGGGGTTTAGGCCTCCTCCCCTCCTGTAGTTGCCAACTCAGCACCCAGACTTTCATTTAGGCTACATGGGGTTGTTCCGGTACACCTTATCCTCCTACTGTGAAAAGTTATCGCCTATAAGCTGAAACCCTTATCCTTCTGCTGGGTGTGGAAGAAAGCTTTTGAGTCGAAACTGGCCACCTGTTTCAAAGATCCCAACATGACATCCTCATGACAGGGTTTAGGTTATAGCGAGTGCAAACATTGCAGAAGCAGCTACAACTCTGTCAAGGGCCAATCTTGGTACATTTGATGATGCATGCGCAATGTACATCTTCAGCTCAGATACATATGCATACAGGCATGCATGAAGGCATGCATGTACTCCCCTCAGTGCACACCGTATGGAAAAAGTCTGACTGGCAGGTAGCAGTAAAGGAAGGCTTCGACTGCTATGTAACCCTACAGCAATCCCTATGTAACCATTTCAGTGCGCATGTTTCGCCATTTGCCCCATTGCCTATCATCTCTCGATTCCTTGCTAGCCACCCGTAGCAAGTCATTTAAAAAGGGTGGGAGTTTCCATACTATACCCTAAAACCTTATACCCTAGCCAGCAAAGGTGAAATACCCTAAAACCCTATACCCTAGCCCCACGGAGTCCTACACGGGGATCCCCGCCCATCCCTGGGGCTCCCCCCTTGGTGGAATTGCAGCCCTAAATCCCAAACCCTAAATTACCCCAAGCCCTAAATCCTAAGCCGTAGCCGAACCCCCCAAATCAGCGGAAGCGCAGAGGTCCTGATCTACTTCTGGGATGAGCGGGATGGCCCTGAGCTCTGTGGATGGTGGTTTGGCCCCAAGGCAGGGCAGGGGCCAAGGCTCTGATGCGTTTCTCAGGTTTTGGGCTTAGGGTGCCGGAGTCAACCCTAAATCCCAAACCTAAGGCTGTTCATGGTTTGGGGCCAGAAACTCTTTGGATCCTAATTCCTAAGGCTCTTGGTCGCGGTTCAGGGTTTAGGCTCTTATAAATCCTCCTGAATCCGAAAACCTAAAATCCAAACTCTGAACCCCCCCCTAAACCTTATGGAAAGGCGGGGGAAGATCAGGTCAGCCTTTGCACCACCAATACAGGTTGGGGTTTGGGATTTTGGGGGCTTCAGGGCTTTAGGTGCTTCAGGGCTTTAGGGGTTTAGGGGCTTTAGGGTTTGAGGCTTGCGCTTTCAGAGTTTTGCGATAGGCGACTAGAAAGGTATCATCGCAAAGATTCGCTGCCCCACTCTTCCTTAAGCACCAATATGTCTAAGCCCTAAATCTTTGAGCCCCAAGCCCCAGATCCTAAACCTTTAGTCCTAAATCCTCTAAACCCATGTGAGCCATAGTCTAAACTCCTTAAAGGGGGGTTATATAGGGGATTATATAGGGAGCTACTATAGGGTATATTAAGAGGGATACTAGGAGTTTAGACAATGGCTCATGTAAGCCCACAGCCTTGGCCGCACCCCTACATCCTAAGCCCCAAAAGGTGTCGGAAGATAAACTCCTATAGATCCTCCAAAACCTTACCCTAAACCCCGAAAGGTGGCCTTGAGATAAATCCTTATAGATCCTCCTAAACCTTAAGCCTTAAGCCCTAAACCGGAAACCCTAAATCTCTAAATCCCTACACTTTAACCCCCCGCATCCTCAGCGGAAGCCTTCAACCTGACAAGTAGGAGACTAGATCAACCCTAAAGTATAATGGGATCATATAGGGGTTGCTAGGGTTGATAGGGATAATGGAAAAGAAGATGGAAACTACTATTCAGGTTTTAGGGCTTAGGTCAGGAGATTTAGTCTAGGCTTAAAATGGTCTCTCTGGAAAAACATAACAACTGTTTTTGCTATAGGTCAAGGGGGATTTGGGGGCCAAAAGCACCTAGAAATCTGGAGGACGAAGTCCTCTGGAAAGATGGGAGGATATACAGACCGAAGCAGGTCTAGGAACTTTCAACCCTCAGTGCTACACCCTCTTGACCGTAAATCCCTAACTCCAACCCAAAGGACCATGAATCCCACCTAAACCCAAAACTCTAAACCTTTACCCCTAATTAACCCTAAACTCTGTAAACCTTGAACCTTGAACTTTAAACTTTAAACCTAGATGCTAAACCCCCTAACACCCCGCCAGGTGGGAGGAGACCAGGTTTGGGCGTACCACCCCAGCTGCACTGCGGGCACCCCGCCAGCTTCGCAGCGAGGGGCTGAGCACAGGGAGACGTTAAGAACGAAGCGGGTTAGGGTTTCGAGTTTAGGCTATGGGTTTAGAGTTTGGAGTTTAGGATGTAGAGTTTTGGGTTTAGGGTTATAGTGGGGCATAGACGACATATGCACCCGTGTATATGTACATATCCAACTATAGAAGTGCGCATATACCCATACAGAAGCGCGCAGGAATTTCAGAGAGAGAGAGAGAGAGACATGTGTCTGTGTTAATGCCTTTTATATATATATATATTTACATATATATATATATTCAGGCTATATATACATATATGTCATATATATGTGTGTACACACACGCACACACCCCCGTGTACGTTGAGGGTTTGGGCATACCATAAATTCAATTCCTGAATATAGATGGGGCTTAGAAGGACATCATATGCATTCCCCTCAGGGCCTCTGTAGGCATCAGCCTGGGAAACTTCCCTTTGAGGATGTATACCTTGGAGAAGCCGAAAGTGCCGTGAAAAGAAGCATAGAAGGCCATGAGCGGTTAGTATGAGCTTAAACAAGAAAACTGAACTTCACAATCGAGTTCAGCGTGGCTCGCACGTGTTAGCAAATCACACCTTGAGTAGGGCATGTACCTTCAGCCATTTGCAAGATTTAAGCATTTTTCACGGCCTGTTCCTTCATTAAGGCGTATTTGGGCTCCCTGGGCATGCGCAGCCAGCCTCTGAGTGATTACCCTCATAATTAGGAGGATAGGTGGCTTTAATTTTTTTGCTGCGCAATGCCCACGTGGCCAAGGTGGAATGTGCCGCATGACGGCCCGATCGACCAGGCAAGTTTTCCAGATCCTCAAGACTCTCAACTGCCCCACAGAATCTTTACTAGCTACCCCAAGAAATCAAAGGTACTCTACAAATCCGTGGAGTCCCTAAGATTTTTTGAGAAGCCCATGTGACTGGACTAGACATCCAGGCTTCAAGCTCCAAGTCAAGGGGTGAGGTGCTGGCGTGCATGGGATGCCACTAGGTCTGGAAGCAGTACAGAAATGGTAGTTTCCCAAAATGAGTGGACCCCAATATAGACCCCCAAATACTATAGTCCTTAGTATAGGAACCCCCAAAATGGTACCCCTAATTTTGGGAAACCCCCTAATTGGGGCCCAACAGTTCATGAATAGCACCTACTTGGTTGGAGTCCAAGGGCAAGGCAGTTGGCTGCCCACAGCCACTCATAAAGTCTAGGCCTTCTCCACCCACTCGCTACCTTGCCATGAACCGTAGAACCTCAGTGGGGTCTAAGTCTAGGGGTCACAGTTTCAGGGTGGAGGGCGTGAGGTACAGAGGTTTTTGATCGGGTTTAGGGTTCATACAGCAGCGACAATGGTCACTGGACCCAATCGAGCGCTCGTCGACATGGTTTGTGCGCGGGTGGTTGGATGTGGTCATACAGGCCTATCCACTCCACCATCATCACGATGCCCATGATGGTACTATATATTAGGGCTCTAAAGTTATGATGATGATGATGAAGAGGATGATGAACGATGACTATGGTGACCATGTCTCAGACTCCTCATGCGCAGTATCCTGGGTCAACGCGCGCGTAAGAACCCACGAATTTGGTTTGGCCAGGCCTTCACGATCTCTGCCATTCGTGCAGCGGAGGGCAGCAGCAAGCGTGCATCCTCAGAAGCTTGGCATCGAACCAAGGAAACTAATGACAACCACCAAGCGGCAGACATTGGGAGACCCCAAATAGGAACGGAGGCGTTACTTACAATTGTAGACGCGATCATTAGCAGTTGTACAAGTATGTAACACGCAGTTCACCGTGGTTTTGATGATGAGGAAGAGGATGAGGATACTAGCTTGGATCCTGAACCCACTCAATAATCCTGACCTAGACGAAAACAGAGCCCCGCCACTGCCAAAGAAGGCACACAACACCAAAAACTAAACTCACAAGAGACGCCTATTGCCGTGTTGTATACTAGAAAACTTCATAAACAGATCCCAATTGTCGCTTGGTATACTGGATTAAAAGATCTTGGGAATGTGCCCTCAGCCGACCTCACCTCAAAGGTGGTCTACCAACAAACTGGGCCCAAATTTGGCTTCATTTCAGGTTTGTTAAATTGATTCACAGGTTCAGGGCTTACCTGTAACCCCAATAAGGTGCAGTTCAATTGCAATTACTCTGCCATTTAGAAAAGTGTAGGTAACTGGGTTACACTTAGGGCTTAGGAGGTTTTAGGTCCCAAAGCCCCAAACCTCCAAAACCCCATATTCTGTGTGGTCTCTGCCAAGGACTAAACCCCCAAACCCTACGGCCTGTGCCAAGAACTGAACCCCCAAACCCGGTGAACCCTGCCAAGGAAAAGCCTGCTTCAGAATCTGCAGCCAAGAAGCCGCGTGCGGCCGAGGCCCAGTAGGAACGATTTCCGCCGGGTGTGGCGCATAGAGGAATTTCCAGATTATGTAGGGGTGATTTATGGAATATATATATATAGCATAGGCTGATATAGTGATTACATTGAGGACGATTTAGGCTTCTAGGGTTTGGGGCTCTAGAAGTTTCAGGGGTTTAGGTCGTAGGGTTTAGGGCTGGTCCTCATTGTTTCTTGGGCGGGTTGCTTTAAACATCACATTTCGATGACCCCCGAGGTGATGCTTATTGGGGTCGAATAACGAACTTTAAGTCCCTTCCTCTCCCCAAGAACACATATTGCCATAGTACAATGAGTATATATATATGTATATGTACATATTTTCTAGTAGGGTTGGGGGGTGGGGCAGATTATGTGTTTCCCTTTGACGCCTTTTGACCCTCCAAGTAAACCTACACAAACGAGGCATCTGGGTCCGGTTTTGGAAGGGAGCTTCTCACAAAGATCGCGGGTCACGGAAGTTAGGCCTACAGTTCAAGGTTCAGGACTAGGTGGTTTTGGGCTTGGGAATAAGGACTAAGGGTTATCAAGCGACCATTTAGAAAGGATGTAGGGGTCCCTTTGGTAGTTTAGTATAGTCAGCATTGTCCGTAATTAAGATGTCCTCTAGCAGGAACCCGTGTCCTTCAACAGAAATTGACTTTAGCTCAAATAGTCGAGGTGCAGAAGAAAGAGAAGGCTGAAAAGAGCACCGGGCGCAAAGCCAGCCAGTCAAAGAAACAGGTAACGGCAACCTGGCCGCGTAGCCTAACCTTGACCTCTCGTTGGGAATGAAGGAAGGGCAGAGAAACTGGCATCTTCTACATTTCTGGCGGGCATATAGGGACGGACTACTACCTTCATGCCTTGCTAACCAGAGGTTGGGTCACTGTTGCATGTGTGCTTGTGAATTTCGGTCAAATTAAAGCTCCAAAGCATTAAGGCCAAGGAATGTCGGATACTGTATAGTTGAAAACAGTATCCCAATCAGGAGCAGTTTATTAAAAATGCCAGTTTGCACATTCGGCGGTGGGTGGGTCCCATCGTCCAACAGAATTGCTAGGAGAAGCCCTGATCATCCAAGCGTGTCGCTGATTCCGAAACCTTGTGCAATCTAAGCAGTTCATTGACGGGTAGTTGAGGTTCATGGAGAAGTTTGTTTCAAAAAATCGCATGCTTCACCTTCCTTAATTGGAAGTCTAATGTGTAACAGAGGTGCTCGGAATCCTACGCTATGATGTTGCGAAGACATGCCCTTCTCTCCGGCTACCCTCCCGGAGCGCACATTGAACCCAAGAAGCCCTTACAGACCTTGGAGCGTTTAAGATCTGGGTGCATGTTAGTATTGGGGAGGAAAATTGTCCCGCCTGGCCTAGGTTGAATCTTCCAGTGAGGATGCAGAGGAGGAGGAAGACGAGGAAAAGGAAGAGGAGGAGGAAGACGAGAAGGAGGACAAGGACGAAAAGGAAGAGAAGGACGAAGAAGAGGAAGAAAAAGATGATGAAGAAGAAGATGAGGAAGACGAAGACGAGGAAGAAGAGGAGGAGGCACATCACGACTGGTTATATACAGCTTGTATACTGCATGCGGCTTATTCAGGGATGTATAGGGTTTACGTAGGGATGTACAAGTTTGAGCACCCCGAACAAATTCTAACTTGTTATCGCCTGTTGTGGCCTTGCAGATGTAAGCGTTCCATGAGAAAGTCCCACGTACATGTTATTTGCCTCTGGGAGGCCAGGGGCAATTTTGTACGTCTCATGGAATCGAGTATTTGAATGCCCTTAAGGTGTGGGCGTGTTCTACCCTCAACTTGTTTCCAGTTTGCCGCAGTCAGTTTCGAATGCTTTGGATTATTGCAGTTTCACGGCAAGCTTTACCCGAACACTGGGGACCAGGATGGGCCCTTAGACCTTAAAGACGCCTTGATCAATCCTACTAGGGTCCTCATAGGGAATGAATCGGTCGTGTATCCCATCCTGTGAGACAGGAAAAGCCGAAGTCCAGAAAGAAGGAAGCTGAGTCGACACGCAAGTCCAAGAAGGCACAGCGCCAGAGAAATCAGAGCACATGCAGCTGAAGCATTAGGAGTAGTAGTAATTAGTCGTCGTCGTCGTCGTCGTAGTAGTAGTAGTAGTAGTGGTGGTGGGTTTTGAACCCTTAGCCTTAGATTGCCTTAGATGGACTTCAGTACTAGCACCAGTGACATCAGCAGTGCTTTGCGTAGATGGACTTCAGTACCAGCACCAGTGACATCAGCAGTGCTTTGCGTCATTTCGTTCGGCTGTTGAACTTCGTTTTTAAGGTGTAAAACTTGCGTTGGTGTGATGCTCAGGACGAGTCGGACGAGAAGGAGGACAAGGACGATGATGACGACGAAGAAGAGGAAGATGAGGATGAGTGGTTTACATTCCCTCCACACTAAATGGAGCAGGGTCCCTAGACGCGTGTCCTCTACACAAATGGATGTTGGGGTTCCACGTCAGTTTAGAGGACGGTTTCAGTAATGTCCAATGCCTTCAGAAGGGGCAACGCAGACTTCCAAAGCTCCAGGACCAATCCCAAGTGCTGGTAAGAGTGGGAGGGAGGGGGGGGGTGCGTGCGGTTCCCCTGTTTATGGGAACTACCAGCTCCCTGCAGAAGCTCCATGAGTTGAAGTCTGCTGTTGGATTCCGGCTGTTCCACCCAGGTGTACTCCTGAGTTCAAGATTACCAAGACCCTCCCAATACCCTTCGTTGGGTTATAGGACCCCTTATAGCGGGTACATAAGCCTGAATAGAGGGTAGCCGGAGGGTCTATGTAACTAGGGGAAGCCCAAGTTTATAGACAGGTTATTTCCCATGGGTAAATGTCTCAGAAAACTTCTGGTATGGATGACACTAGTGTTCTTTCACAGGCCGAATTTGTGTTCAAGGGCCAGCATTGGATTCCCTTTCTTGAGACATCCTCTCCAGAATTTATTGTGAAATATCGTGCCTAATGAGAGCAGGATTGCATCAGAATCTTTTGGCCTTTTCTAGTTGGAAGAGCTCATTTGCAAGCAAGCTACCCACAACATGCACAACCAAAAAGGCATCTTGGCAGCCACATTTGCACCCTTGGCTTCCGAAAAGCTCGCAAGAACCAAGCTGACATCCCAGGAGCTTGGAACGAACCATACAATGCCGAATTCCCCCGCACGAATTCCTTGAACCTAAGCCCTACAATCTAACCTTAAACAGTCAAGCCTGACCCAAACCGTCAAACCTTGGCATTACCTGGGCTAGGCCCGCCAATGTATTACGTTTCAAGGACCCTTAAAACCATACCCTACCCCAAAAAGAATTGCATTTGTGGGTCTAGGTAAAATCCCATCTCCCCTACTGCCCGGAGGATGATGAAGAGGAGGAGGACGATAAGCCGAAGTCGAAGAAAGCTGACGGCAGCTGTGTCGCACAGGATTCAGAGCCTGAGATCTAGGGTTTCGGATGTAGTTTTCTCAGTGTACCCAGCTGCAAAAAACTGGTTCAAGTTTAAGGTTAGCGCTTTGGCTTTAGAGTTTGGGCTGCAGGGCTTCGTTTAACGGACTAAACCCCTAAACCCTAAACCCGTTAGAAAGCCTAAACCCCAAGCCCCTACACCGCAAGTAGAGCTCATGAGCTAGTGTCCTCGGGACAGATGGGATTCCCGTACGGATTGCATTGCGAAGGCTGCGTTGCTCTTGAGGCAAGTTACCCTAACAGGAGTATACAGGGTTTAGGGATTAGGCTTCAGGGTTAAGGGATTACGTACCATGATATAGGTATGTAGTAAATGATCGGGTGTCCTTGCTATAGTAACCTAATCTAAATTCCTGCACAGCAAACAGCAGCCCGGAACAGTATGCCAAGCTTCGGTCTCGAAATGCGGATCTACCGGGAGAGAATGAGTGGCATAAGGGATTATGAGGGGCGGGGGTAAATTCAAATAAAGGGTTGCTTTGCAAAATTGTGGATGGGCTATCTTCAGATACTGGGGCTGGCCGTTGCCGACGGTGTTCTGTAGATCCTCTGTGCCCTCACCATATGATCCCTACACCTTCATGCGGTAGAAAGTTGCTAGACGAAAGCAGTTTGTCATCAGTTTTTTGTCTTACAGGTGTTCTGAAGTTAGCAGAAGACCCTAAATCCTGAATCGAATCGTAGTTTCCATTCCTTGTCCTTTCCCGTATACAGCCTCATAATCCTTTAATCCTTTGTGAAGTGTCTGACAGCAAGAGGTTTAGTGTCCAGGTCTAGGCATGTTACAAGAGTTGGCTTGAAGCCTGAAGCTTTGGACGCCTGTGTTTGCTCCTTGCGTAAGGGGCTGAGGATACAGGGCCTAGGGAGCTCAAAGGGGTTTAGGATTTGGAATGCAGAGCTAGGTCTAATTTGGCTTCCCAGTTCGGCACATTGGTTGGATGGCAGAGGCATCCGGCTCTTGCACTGGGAATTGCAATTTCTCAAAACAGGTGGCCTCAGGAATCCCTGGGGATATGGAGGTCTCAGAATGTATAGTAGCTTGTCCTTGCTTTTGGGATCAAACCCTAAACCCCAATACACTACAACCCCTAAATAGATCCCCAAAGGGGCCACATTGTTTACAACCTCCCCATATGATGTGGATCAGAAGGAGATCGTGTGGCTCCCATCCGCGGTTAAGGGTTTATGATTTAGGGCTAGGGTTTGGGGCTTAGGGGATTTTGCAAGGGATGTTTCACAACTGATCTGCGAAGGCTTCAGCGCCACGCTCCAAAGTTGGAGTTCAGGGTTTGCAGCATTTAGGATTTGCAGGGTTTAGGGTTTGTAGCAGTGTTGAGGGCTTGTACTAGATAGACGTATAGACTTCACAAGCCTTCTGGGGCTCAAGAGTTCTATGGTTGGTTTACTTTCACAGCGTTTGTAAGGGTTTGTAGGGTTTAGGGCTCATAGGGTTTATTGCTGAGTCTGGGCTGTTAAGGCAAGCGAAGCTCCCGATCTGAAGCGAAATGAGCAGTCGCGGAAGACCTATGATGGATTCTCCTAACCAAGCCCACTAACTTAGGGTGGGTAGTATTGGAGGAGGTAGTCCGGGAACCCATAAAAGCATCTCGTCCCTGTGTTCAAAGCTATTGCGAATGAAGGATTTTTCATAGGAGCTCCAGAATCCCTTCACGGAAGCTCCACCAAATTAACATAGGGTTTGGCGCTACAGAGACTAGTGTCCTTTCCTCATGGGGACCATTAGACTATAGTTTTAATGCGGCTCCCGTTTTTTAAGAACCCTCAAATCTTCCCCATATTGTTGATGGATAAAATCCTGCATGACCCTACTAGAAATCTTGCGTCAACGTAGTACACTATAGTACTATACTTCCCACGGTGTAGGGTCATGCAGGATTTGGGGCATCCACCCTGTAAAATCCCATATATATATATATATAATCCCAGTGTTCATTTCATGTTCTATCTTTTCCATTTGAGTCTCCAGTACTTGTAAACCCTACACCATAATCCCTGGACCCCAAGCCCTACGGACCTCCTATTCCTAAGCGCATCGAGAATTCCATGTGACCCCATATTGCTACGTAATCCCTATCTCACCCCTTTATATCTCCATGCAGCATGCAGCGGCACCACCATCACAAATCCTAAGGGTCCAGAGTACATAGTTGTCCTATTTATTCGTGAAAAGCCAGAGTCGCGTTTTCCGGTGGAAGACTTGCAAACTACGTGATTGTTGTATACTGGAGTCTTAAGACGTGCTAAGGCGATAAGAAAGGTGGCGACGCTGCTGGCGGCAACTACTTCGTCCAGTGCTCGTTTTCTTACAGGTTTTTATTAGGGGATAAAGGAATATACTATACTATAATATATATATATGTATATAGGGATCTTATGGGGATTGTATTCCTTGATTCCCTACTAAGAACCACTAAGTCTTCGGGTGTAGGGTTTGGGGTTCAGGGCTTGGGGTTTGAACCTCTAGAACTGGGTTTAAGGGTTTTTTGGTTTACGGCTTCCCTTCTAATTCCCTTCTAAGGGTCCTTCTTATGGGGTCTGTTCTACTCGGGTGCTCCATAGGAATCTATTCGATCAAACCACTGCCACATCAAGATGGGGGTTAGTGGTGTCGGGTGTCACGATTAAGAAATGTGATATAGTTTGTAATTACGATGTATATGTATACATATATATATATATGAACTCACATGGTTCATTTTTAAGGTATTGATATCAACGATTAAGTATATTTGCTGGTAGGGGTGGGCAAGGGGAGGGTTGTCGTGAAATTGCTGTGGGGGTTCAGGTCGCTACTTGTGGCTTCAGGTACAGGGGAGGCTGCAGTGGTTCATGCAAGCCTGAAAGCAGCGACAAAGGCCCAGCATACTAAATTATGATGGGATTGTACGGGTAAAGCCTTACTGAGTCAATACACTTTGTGGGTATGTACTACCATATTCGCATTGGGGTTTTCACAGAAGATCTTTTTGAAAGTCCTTTTAGCAAGGTTGTAGTATTCTTGAGTGTATAAGAGGGCCCCGACATTGGCCAAAGGCCCATTTGGGGAGAGGCCCACAGCAATAACCCCTATGTATTTATGTAAGTCACTGAACCGTAAGCGGCCCGCTGGACCCGGAAATTTTTCAGGGATCGATCCCTGAAAATATGGCACGGAAGCATTTTCAGGGATCGATCCCTGAAAACTTGTGGGTCCTTGAAAGCCCACTGGACCCAAAGATTTTCAAGGATTCAGAAAACCTGCCTGCCCGGAAATGTTCAAGGATCGTCACTGAAAGATTGCCGGCCCAGAGACTTTGAGAAACTTATCACTGAAAATGTCTACGCGAGAAGATTTTCACGGATCTTGGTCAGTATTTACCAAGACCCAAGAAATGAAAACCTCCCAAATAATCCCCCTAACTCCACCAATGTAGTACTGGGCCCTTTTTGGCAGGGACTGCTTCTTTTTGGATCTTAAGCGCTAAGCCCTAAACCCTAAGATCCTTAGGGGGGTCTGGGTAAGCTCCTCATTTGCCCAGGTCACGGCCTACAACAAACGCCGAGAGGCCTGGCTTTGCCGTGCGCAGCTCTAAGCTGGTAGTATAGTCCCCCTTAAGTAGATAGAATATTGTAGCTATATTAGGGTTCTAATGGGGTTGGGGTGATATAGGGATAATGGAAAAGAAAATGGAAACTACTATTTAGGGTTTAGGGTTTTAGGGTTATATAGTCCCCCTTAAGTAGATAGAATATTATAGCTTTGGGTATATTATAACAAGATCCACATATACCTCATATTCTATCTGCTGAAGGGGGACTATCCACTTGGGCTTTTTGCTTTCGGGTTTAGGGTGTAGGGCTTTTGGTTCAGCGCTTTGGGAGTACAACGGTATTTAGGGCTTGCGGCTTCGGATATTTCAAACGGGGTTTAGGGCTCACGGTTTAGGGTAGAGGGCTTAGGTTTTAGGGTCTAGGGCTTAGGGTTTGGGGTTTACTTACCTCTGGCTAGCAGCGAATGAAGGAATGGACAAGAAACAGGCACGATCATGTTGTGCATAGGGACGACTATAGGGAGTTATCCCTCCATTCCCTACTTAGCGGAGGTAGGTATGGGCTTATAGGGTTAAGCTTGCAGGGTTGCAAGGACTAGGGTTTATAGGGTTAGGCTTTTGATTGGTTTTTGTGGGTTTCAGGTTTTGGGGCTCAGGGTTCCCGACAAAGTTTGACTGAGTATGCACTCGACCTACAATAAGCTAGGAAGATGGACCCGTAAACCATTTAAGATCATCATAGTTAAGCGGATCTGCCTGCAGTAGCCCGACACCAGCATTTCCAAAAGTGATGCCCTTGATCATCCCAAAATCTGGCTCTACTGCTTTGTGAAGGGACTGCACATGTCTGGGAACCCCAAATGACTAGGAGTCTGATAATGCTTTTCCATGCCTAAACCCTAAATCTCAAAACAGGAGTCTCCGAAGGATCTGGGGGATACATTGGAATTTTCCGTGCCTAGTAAGGATTCTATAGGGTGGATTGAGGAACTCCCAGATTAAGTTTCCAAAGTGCCTATGGTTTGGGTGGGTGAGAATGAGAATCAATACGTATTTGGTTCAAACACCAAGACAGCACTAAGGAAGAAGCCTGAAGCATTTCAAAGGTGCACGCTGCTCGCACTGGTTGCCCTGGCACAACAGCCCACCCCTATGATGCAAGGGCAACTAGAGAGCAATGTAAACCCCCCAGACCTATTTAAAGAATTCAGGCCTTCAGATTCAATCCTAATCCCTGTCAGCCCTTATCTCGGCTGTAGTCTAAACTCCCGAAAGGGGATTTTATAGGGGAGGATCAAAATCAGGGGGATACTAGGAGTTAAGACCCGGGCATGCTCGGAGTTTAGACCATAGCTTACTTCAACCCAGTTTTCATTTCATTTTCCAATTTCCGTCCATTTGATTCTCCATCATTCCAAGGTGTAGGCCCTGATCCCTATAAATCCTGCACATCCCATACCCAATTGAGGGTTTAGGTATCCCGTAGCCTCCTAAAAACCCTATATGAAGCGAATTATTTAGGAGTGCCCTAAACCCTAAACCCTATAAACCCTATCTAAACCCTATAAACCCTAAACCCTAAACCCCATAAACCCTAAACCCCATAAACCCTAAACCCTATAAACCCTAAACCCTAAACCTTGCCTTGTTTTGGAGCTTCTGTCAGGAGAGGGCCAAGGCAGAAGAAGAGAAAAGGAAGGCTGAGCGCTCCAAGGCGCTGGTTAAGGGTTTAGGGTTTAGGGTTTATAGGGATTTAGGGGTTTAGGGTTTAGGGCTTAGGGTTTAGGAGGTTTAGGAGGTTTAGGGTTTAGGGTTTATGGGGTTTATAGGGTTTATAGGGTTTAGGGTTTAGGGTTTAGATAGGGTTTATGGGGTTTATAGGGTTAAGGCTTCAGGGTTTGGGTTTGGGGCTAACCTGCTTACAATCAAACGGAAGGTGAAATAGAATCTGGGTGCTTACCGGAATCTTTAGCTAGTAGGGAATGGACGACCGGATTCCCGTAGCAAACTCTGTGGCATCCACCGGCATGTAGTATTTCTGTTCTTTTGTCGCGCCATTCCAGACCTTGCGCACATGGCCCGGCGTCAGGATAAACGTTATGTAGGGCCTAGAAGAGTAGGCTAGGATTTGGCGGTGTGTTTCTCAAATAGGACATACAATGACATGGAAACGGGGGTTTTAGGGATTGAGTGTAGGGGCCTAGCTTAGATAACCACTGGCAGTGGAGGGGACTTGGGTAGTAGGTCAAGAAGGGGGAAACTGGGTCCTGAAATTTTCTACAGGGGGTCATAAGAAGACTTTCTCCCTGACCCTCCAAGAAGTTGAGGGTATGCTAGGGGTGTTGGGGGCGTGGGGGTACAGGATATTTCGATTGTGAAAGGATATTACTCGTACTTATTCAGGCTGCTGCGTTGCTTCTTGTATCGCGTGCTCTTAACTCAGTGTCTCTGCCATCAAAATTCACCCCCACCTATACAAACATGTAATCCAACTTATCCAAGTTGTAAAGGCACACCAGTCTCCGTGACTCTCTTGTTTTCAGGTTCCATGTTAGTTCGGGGGAGAGTAACTCACGCATCCTCCAGTTGTACTTAGGGTTTAGGGTTTAGAAATTCCCTCCCCTTGATAATAACATCCCACACCTCAATAATGAAGATTCCCTGAGTATACACCAGTTATATACTGGCGGTGTTCATTTTCAGAGGGGTGGGGGAGCGCTATTTATCCTTAGGGGGAGGTGATGAAGAGGACACTGGAAGCAACAGCTTGGCAGTTAGTACCCAGTGAGATTCATGTGATAGTCACAGGCTTTCTGTTTTGCGGATCGGAACCCATTCACGAAATCAATGCATAGATGCTTTCGCGGGCTCCGTTTTTCGCCTGTTATACGCAACATCCCGCATCGTCAACTCCCTGCGCTCCTGGAACAAGGTACCCGGCACTCTGAAGGGCATGAGGGCAGGAACTCCTATGACACGAACTGCCATCTCTACTTTCTAGCTCTCTGGTCCTCTTAATGCGTGCTCTCCTGTCAGGAGAGGATTGAGGGAACCCGATGCAACACCTGCCATATGGGTCTCTCAGGCTCCTTATTTGGAGACTGAGGTTGCCAAGGCCTTCGGCTATCAGTCTGCAAAGCACTCGGGAGGAAACCCTAACCTAAACCCTGAATTCCTTAACCCTCGACCCTTAAGCTGTAAATTCAGGATCTTCAAAGTCTTAGCCCGAAGCCCTTAAGCCCCAAATCCTAATCCCTAAGTCTTTACATCCGAAGCCCTAAACCCGGAATCCTCAAGCCTAAGCAGAGAGAGCCAGGAACCGGAAAAGGGGTCCAGGCTGGCAAACGGCACGGCCGCAGCCGCTCGGATTGAAAGATCACGTTTTTAGTGTTTAGGCTTTAAGGGTTTAGGGTTTAAGTGTTTAGGGGTTCTTCAGGAATTTTGTCCTTTTTTAAGGCTTTCGGTGTTCTTCAGGAGTTTTGTCAAGTTTTTCTTGCGGTGTCGCCCTAAGGAATAGTTCAGAATATAGGTCTAGGGGGATAATCGCCCTAAGGAATAGTTCAGAATATAGGTCTAGGGGGATAACAAGTTAGAATGCCTCCCTTCCAACAGGTCATATTTAGGGTTCAGGGTATCGTAGGGATGTATAGTATAGGCGTTATATAGGAATCCGGGATACGTGTTCGGCATACATTGAAATAGTTGCAGGCCATTTTTTGCAGATGGACGCCAATCGGTTGAGTTTCAGGTTCTGAACGTATCTTAATCAAATGGCTGGTAGAAGGTTGTTTAGTGTTTAGGGTGTAGTACTACAGCGGAGAATCAAATGCACAATGCAATTAAAGCTGGATTTTTACAGTGGTTATGTAATGTAGGGATTGCTTCTCTCTAAGTATATAGGGGCTTATGGAAAAGAAAGTGGAGTTCCTGGCATGCAATAACCCCACCGGCCCTGCGTAATGAATGCATGCTTTGTAGTACCATTCAACGTTTTGGCTGGGTGTTTACACTGTAAAGGGGGGTGGTGGGGGGAGAGATTGAGGGATACTACAACCTGCTTGTGGATACCACAACCAGATCAGTGGGTACTACACCTGACATAGCCAACCACAGTAAATAGGTTCAACCCAAAATGGTGATATCACAACTGTAGGGTTGGGTGTTGAGGGATAGTACAACTGGATCTCATTTATGCTTACCCCTGGACATCTTCTTTTCATTCTCTCTTGAGCTGCTGTGAGCAACTCGAACCCTTTCTAGCTTTCAATAGGAGGTGCTCATGTCATTTTGTTTTGATTTGCGGTTGGCAACATATGTATACAGATATATGTCATGAACAAGGTTTCTTTGCAGTTGTCTTGTGGCGATGGGCATCAACTGGGGTCAAGGCCAATTAATAACAGCTTGCATTTTTTGCTCTCAACTGAAATTCTTCCAAGACCCCATGTTTGGAAGCAACGACATAGATATTGTGCCTCCTAGATAAGGCACCGGTTGTGGAAACTCCTTCTGTGGCTGCGATAATTTGATTTCAGTTGCACTATCCCCTAGACGCTAGACGCCACCCTGGTGGGAAGTGTTAGAACCGGAAGTGACCAGGATTTATGGAATGTTGTCAAAATTCTTATCACTCTTTGGGTGCCCGAAATGTCAGGGGCCATGTTAGATGTTTTGGCGCTCTCAACCCTACAACCCTAACCTGAAGTGACTGAAGGCCAAGGAAAAGTCCGCGAAGGATGATGAAGCTGACGAGGATGAGGCCAGGAAGCTAGCCAATGGCTCCTATGCAGTTTCTTTTTGAGTTGGTTGTTGTTTTGGGGAAAGGAGTCTACCAGTACTAGTAATATACTACCCGCAAATGGCCTGCATGGGAGGCTCGGGCCCGTCCTTCAAGGCGTTGATTAGGCCTGTGCTAGCTGTTATCGCAGGGGGAATTGAGAAAGGCATGGAGCTTTCTCAAACACAGTGGGCCGTTCGGGGCTTCGGGATGTATACGATAATGATTCATGGCAGCTGCTCTTCCATTTGAGGCATTTGGGTTCAGGGCTGTTTATATGATTATGTTTCATTGGGAAAGGGAGAGGCAAAGCCCATCCGCCTTTGAATGCCAAGGAACATTTCCTAGCAGTTGCTGTAATAGTATCCTGTGTATGACTGCTTAGTAGGGCATTCACGAGAACGTTCCGCTGATTAGGAAACGAATTCCATTGACAAGGCAACCAACCGGTTAGGGCTTGGGTTTCAGTGTACGCAAGCTGCATGTTTCTGTCACAACAGAAGCAACAGGTGGCGGAATCGATTCTACTGTTTTTTTCCTTATATGGCTGCTTTAACGAGCATCTTGCTTGCCCAAGTTGTGACTAGACAGTCCGGTCAGTCAACCGGTTTCTAAAGTCACCTGCATTGGTTAGCGCGCAGCCTCAATTGCCAAAGACTTTTACTCGAGAAAAGTCCAGCGTATCCGTTTTCACACCATACCATGGGAGCCATCGCGTGAGCGCAAAATCCATACGATAGCAGGTAAAGCCTTTTCGCCCTGGGGCTTCCGTTGCTGCAGCTACTACTGCTCATTCGACAACAACCAGGACTTCACACTGTTACATGACGACAACGTATGGCCGAGGAGTTGATAACGCAAGGCTGAAGGCCAATCAACCCATGCGACGGCATTTGTTTAGCGGATTTGCATTGGCTGCGTTCGGTCGTGGCGCATGGGAACACCAGGGATGTAAGAGTACATGCACGCACAGACGCACACACAACTCCCAAGCCATCTCAAGCCAAAAAACTCTCGTTCCGGCCGGGTCGATACTGCTGTTGGGATGCTTGCACGAAGCAGGTCGGAAAAATGCATCCACATGCTGCTTAGTACTCGCATGACCCGTAGAATTGGGAACCCGGAACAGAGCGTTTATAGGCCTAGATGATCATAACGGGTTTTCGAGGCTTACACCCTCGCAAAGCCCACTCAGGTCCGGATGTTGGAGGAGCTACGCAAGCGTGCAGAGGAGAGGAAAAAGAAGATGGAGGACATGAGTTCCTGGAGTGCAACGTTGTTGGACCTCGCCTCCCTATAATGTTGGACATTGTTGGACCCTCTACAGTGTTTGGGGAGCCCCCATTCCTTGCCCTAACAACAGGGCCTCCAGAAAAATGAAATTAAGGTCCCTCAATAAGTGCCTTCAACCTCCCACGGTTTTGAGGTCCTTGTGGTTTGATTTAAACGGGCAAGTTGCGAATCTTTCTTACAGCTTTAGGGCCCAAAGATCAAAACAAACTATGCGGGGCCTCAAGCTCTTAACCCTGATCCTGAACAAGCGGGCCCCGGAAAAAAACACATTATACCGGGGCTCAACGACAAAGCGGGTCCAACATCATCACCCCCAACAGTAATACCTGGCAGGTTCCCATTACCCTCATAAGCTACGAAGTTCCCATAAGGGGTCCCTCCTAAAGCCCTGAACCCCAGGAGTCAGCAGACGTAAAAAAGCCGTTGAAAAACACACCATGAGTCAGCTACACCAGCAGTCCAGCTGTGAATTTGAGCCTAATGCAGCGGCTCCAACCTGACTGCGTGTGAAGCCAAACGGTAGTTTCCATTCACAGGGGGACCCCAATATATTGACCGCAATATACCAGAAACTCTGGGCTCTACTAATACTTTAGCATTTTACAGCTGTTGCGGTTCTTCCATTTATTACGGGTGCTAAAGTCAAACTTTTCGTGGGGGATTGAAGAGCAACTACGATAATTCTTTCTTTATCACAGTGCCGCTTGCATAAAACGGGCGTAGATCTCTACCTGGAACGCTGCAAAATGATCTGGCAGCGTGCTTCAAGTACTTGAACACTTTGGCCCGCCGCACACTGTTGATTCCTGTGCTTCGCAGGACCTCAAGAAGAAGGAGGACGCAATTTTTGATAGTAGTTAGAGTGGGTTCAGGGTTTGGGGTTTAGGAATGCAAGGAATCAAGACAGGTTCCCATGGGTTCGGTATACTAATAGTTTCACAAGGACCAGAACGGAACATTCCGTTGCACCGACATAAACCCTAATTACACATGTCTGGAAAGCATCATGAGCAATGATGGTGAGAATGGTTTTAGCTTCGAGCTTCCGCCACCTTCCTCAACTTGAGCGCGGATTGCGTGGGAACTTCGTGCATTCAGCGAACAACCACTTGAGTAACACATTTGAAGTCTGGTTGGAGGCTCAGGGAAACTTGGTACGTAGCATTTAGGATTTATGGGAATAGGGTTTAGGGTCACGGGGATTTGGTAGGCAAAGAACAGGGAGAACTGAGGGAATTTATGGCTATGTGGGTTGCAGGCATACGTCTAAAATTCACTGCGGGGACTGCTGGGCTTGTTATATGGTTTCTAGGGGGTATCTCGTGCTAAGTCTCCCTGACCCTAAACCCTAATCCCTGAACAATACGGTAGCTTCCATTTTCTTTTTTGCTACGGCCTCCGTACTGGTTACTGGGCCGCCCTTACCCTTGAATTCCCTAAACCCTAAATAGTAGTTTCCATTTTCATCTCCATTATCCCAATATAACCCAGCTGAAGCAAGGCCATGCGGTCGGTGACTGCCTGTTGCATAGCCGGGGTTGATCTAAGAGTCCTGTGAGGAATCTTTTATAGGGGTTGTGCTGCTTTATATCGGGTTGAGGGATCAGGGCTTAGGGTTTTGGATCTAAAGGTGCCTTGAAATTGTCGAAATGTCCCGTACGTTTTTCAGGGACCAGAATATGTGGGAGAGTCGTTTTGCACACTGGCCAATTTGTGAACAGAAATTTGATCGACGACCACCTCTTAACCTTTCGGGACTATAGTCCCGCTTAAGTAGATAGAATATGGCTTTGGGTATATTCTAATAAGATCCCCATATACCCCATATTCTATCCACTTAAGGGGGACTATAACCCACCCAGCCTCTGTGTTTCTCAAACTTCCATGCAGACCTTGCAGAATGGCAACTTTGCACGCTTAGAAGCTACTTGTTGTCTGCCATTGATGTTCATGAGGAGCTGCAGAATACATGGAACTGCTATGCCATACACCAAACATAGTTCAAGCCCCTGGCCAAAAGTATGTGGAAGTTCCCAAAAGTAGGGGACCCCAATATACACCCCTAGTCCTTATTAGGGGGCCGAAAAATGAAACCCCCAATTTTGGGAAACACAAAACCCTTACCCCCATAAACCCTGGACCCTTCGCAGGAGGAGTTGAAAAAGAAGGCGGCTCCCAAGGGGGAGGCACGTGGTTTAGGGTTTAGGGGTTTAGGGTTCAGGCGTTGAGGGTTTAGGGGTGTAGGGTGTAGGGTTGCAAGTGGCTTTCTGTCATGTCCAGAAACTTGAATGCGCCGGAAAGTTATTCTCCCTACGTTTTCCCCAAATGGTGATAGTAGCAGCGCATTCACCCAAATCCCTGTCAGATCATTTAGGCTATGACATTAAGGCGTGCTACGCTTGGATGTCGATTGCCTAAACCTATATACAAGGTTTGAGGTTAAACCCTACCCTAGGGATTCCGGGGGATTGGAGGCTAGGGGTTGATGGATCAGGGTTTTAGGGCTTGGGTTTGGGGGTTGAGGGGTCTACATAAGGCACACGAGAGAGGCCTGGTTCAGGGCTTAGGTTTACCGTTCAGGGTTTAGGGTGAGGATTCTCGTAGTTGGCTTTGACAAGAGCGTAAGGAGGCCCTGCAGAGCTTGCAGCGCCCGAGGGGTCGAATGTATTGGTACAAGCAGTGCCAATTCTAGTGGGTTTAAGGTCTTTTTAGTGTTTAACGCAATATGAAGCACCAGAAGAGGCTCGCCTTGGAGAATCCTAGGCACAAAAAAATCAAGCTCCAGTTGAGTAGTATCCTGTTGTTTTGTAGAACATGTTGTAACTAGCATTGTAGATAGAATTTTCGCAAACTGCTTACCCGAAGCCCGAGCCTAACTCCTAGCAATATTCCTAGCCAAGGAATTTCTCGCAGAATGGGAGACCAAGGTTCCCAGATCTTCACCGGGCCATGGTTGTCTCAAGGGTTGAGTTTTTTCAAGTTCAGGGTTTAGGGCTGTTTAAGTTTTCTGGTAGCCAACCCCATGTAGCACCCCATCAGGAACTTCAAAAACTCTTTCTCTAGAAGTTGATCCCAAAAAGGAGCCCGCTCAAGAGGGGAATTCTAAAGTTCTCAGAGGGCTTTCCGAGACCCTTCAAATATTCTACCCTAAGCCCTGAACCCAAAACCCCCTAAACCTTCAAACTTAAACAGTAAATCCTGAACCCTAAACCCAAGAGTGAATGCTTCGGTCGCAGAGACAGTGGCTGGAGGGTCTACCTACAAAGGCCCAGATGAACACCCCTTCCCAGAGAAAAACCTGGGCATTGACTTGGTCTGTAATTAACTTGCTATTACTATTACTATTACTATTACTATTATTATTGCTATTATTATTATTACTATTATTAGTACTATTACCATTATTATTACTATTACTATTATTATTACTATTACTAATTACTATTACTATTACTAATTACTAATTACTATTACTAATTTCTAATTACTATTACAAATTACTATTACTAAATACTATTACTAATTACTGATTACTATTACTAATTACTAATTACTATGAGTACTATTGGACCAGAATCCTGCAGTGAAGGACAGCAAGCCTGAAAGCAAGGCTGGCGGCTGCCCACTTCTTTGTCCACATGAGATATAGTCTAAACTCCTCAAAGGGGGGTTATATGAGTCGCGGTCAAAATTACCGTTTACTTCATTTAGTCTAGGCGGTAGTTGTTGCGCAAAAATCCCCAAGATCGATAGGGGACGTCCTAAAACTATAGGCTTATTTCATTTAAGCNNTCAAAAACCAAGAGAGAACAAACAAGTAATTTTGACGCCGCATTATATAGGCGACTACTATAGGGGCTATTATGGGGAATACTAGGAGTTTAGACAATGGCTCATATAATAAGCTGCTGTCCATATTAACCTTAACTGGCTCTTGCCAGTGGACATGGGGGTCCCCCTTGTAGTTTATAGCCTAGTAGAGTTCCTGAAAAGAAACGCACGTCCGCTAAATTACGATAGAAGCCCTAGCTTCGTGTTTGGGTTTGCCCGGATGCGGACTCAACTTGCCGCACTTTGGGAGTCTAGACTCGTGGCACATGCTAAGCTTCGTATGGTGGATGGAGGAGATCTTGCATCAATTGAATTCCAAAAATGGATACCGCCTGGGCTATAGCGTAGAAAAGGTGGTGCAATCTTTCTGGTAATAATTTGCCCTTGTCTGAGTGTGAGTGACGGATTTTCGATTGGGGAGGGACTTTGCCATTGGGGACAGCTGCATCGCAGGTCAACGATTATTGATCTACTTGATCTGCCTTAACTTGCGCTTGATCTAGACTGCTTGTGGTACCAGGCCTTCTTGAGACTACGAGGTGGTACGGTGCTCTTGGAGTAGGTAAGTCAGGTAAGCCTTTAGCAATCAAGGCCTGAGCCAACAGCCTTAACAATAGATGGGCGGTTGTCAAAATTATGGTCCCTTTTTGGGTACCCTAAATATTAGGGGCCGTATTATAATAGGGACCCCAAAAAGGACCATAATTTTGACAACCACCCAGATGGGCTGTCTTTTTAAACTGTTAAAGGGATGGTGTACCGTGATCTTATACTTTGGAGTGTAACGCGGGCAATATTCACTTGAGCGTAGGTATGAGTATGAGAGCCTGGTTTAAAGTCATATCGGGTCAGGTCATAGCCAGGCCGAATTTTTAACCGGCAAGCAAGGATCCTAGGCAGGTAGTCGAACCCTCAACCCCCGCCCAAAACCTAAAGCACCAGAAAGCACAGATCTATCTTGTGCGCAGGCAAAGGAATCCAAGGACAGCTTTTGGGAGAGCGAGGAAAAAACACACTTCGAAGGTTTTAGGGTTTAGGAATTTCTACGCCCTTCCAGTGGGCAATTTTCTGGTTGGGTTTCACAAGCCCATTTGGTAGTTTCCATACATTGGGGACCCACCTATACACCACAAGATGAGAGTTGGAGAGTTCAAGAGACTGAGCATCTAGGATTGCGCACGGTTCTCCTCGGCCTACGGCAGAAGTTTAGTGTTGGTCGTTTTGACTTATTATGCCCTTGCACATGCAAGCAGATCATCAAGAGCTTCACTGTAGCTTTCAGGAAAGGGTTGCATAGAGGATCTGGTGCGTTATGTCCTACCTATCTAGCCAGGGAATTTTTTTTACATATTCAAGGAGATTAGAACATTGCCTGTAACCTATAACCATGAATAGCCTAGATGCTATGTACCAGACTCTCAGGCAGTCCAAACATGAGCAGACTGGTGGGATGCTTGCTTTGCAAGTTTCTGATGGAGTTTCATGCTTGAAGGGTCAGGGGACCCAGAATATATACGTAATAAACCCTATAAGCCATGTAGTTATTACTATCCCCATGTTCAACCTACTTTTTAAGGCCCCTGGCCCTCCAGGATGCCTGCCTTTCTTGTTTTTCTGGAGTTCAAAAAGGACTCGGGGAGTCCCCAAACCCTAAACCCAGGACTATTATGTCGATCCACTCATATGGGTAGGGGGGTAGGGGATTGGAACCCTATAACCCTTCCTACATCATCCCAGTTTGGGGCTTAAGGTCTGCCTTATGCACCAGGAAGCTTCTTGTCGCTGCTCCATAGTATGTCTCTCCCATATACAGTTGTACTATATTGAGGGTATTCCGTGATATTCTTGTTTCGAGCACCAGTACGGGGTGGGTCGCCCTGCCATGTTAAAACCCAAAGGCCTAAGCCTAAATTTGGTAAATCCCACAACCTGCATCCTTCATCCTGCAACTCGAGATGCCCAAAATCCTTGACGCCTGCAATCCCAGACCCAAAATCCTGGACTAGACCGCTGCAACCCAAAATCCTAGACCTTACAGCCCTAAATGCTGGACCCCGCAACTCCATACATGCTTTGCTGTTGTTTGACCTTTTCGGCTGCTTGCTATGTCACGCAGGGCTTCATGAGGCCTTTTGCCTGTGCTTTGTACAAAGTTATACCCTGCAACTCCATAATGCCTCATGAAGAAACAGGAGAAGCGGTCGAAGGCTGAGAGGGCCGAGAGTCCAGATGAGCCTTCGCGCCCCCGCAAAGGCCGCGAGGCCCCGGACGGGAAAGGGGGGCGGGGCGCGCTAGAGCTCTAAAGGGGCTCAAGAATTAGGGTGCCTTTCAGGGGGTTTGTAGAGGTTTTTTTTGGTGTTATATAGGAATTATATATGTGTGTTTCATAGGGATCAGAAGGACATGGAAAGGAAAATGGAAACTACTATTTAAGATTTAGGATCTTATGGGGTTTTTGGGGGTTGTAGGCGGGAAGACATTCAAGTCATAACCTGGAGCTTATATCCCGCTTTGGTTGCTAGCTGACACCAGTGTTTAAGGGGTATCGGAGTGTAAGGGGGTTCTATAGCGGCACAGGTGGGTGGTATACATATAGTTACATAGACTGTTGTGCAGCTATAGGGTTTCATGGGACAACGTGACATTAGCTTACCTGCGCCAAATTCCCCAGCTATGAGGTACCTTGGGTTATGCAAGACTTTCAGTATCAATGGCGGGATGATGAGTCTCCTGAGCCCTTTCAGTGATTCTTAATAAGCAACGCTGAACTGAGTTCCGGCCGCTTCTTTCTACATCTTGAGCCATCCAACAATTCCACAAGGATCGCCCTAAACCCTAACCTTTGTGTGGTCCACGATCTTTGCACAGCCCCTGAACCCTAAACCTCTATATAAACCCCAAAGCCCTAAAACCTTAGACCTTCATTAAGCCGTAAAACCCTAAGACCTTGAACCTTAAAACCCTAAACCCTAAATTAGGTCAGAGCCTGCAGCCTTGGCTCACTCCGCGTTTCCAGGACCGGGACCGCGAAGATCGGGGCCGCGACCGCCGCGGCGAGGGTCGGAAGCGCAACCGCTCCGAGGCAGGGATGGATTTTAGGGTTCCTGTTATTGTTAGAACTATTATTGTTAATTGTTCAGAAGGGTGACAATTATTGCTACAATTGTCATCATTACTATTGCTAGTACTATTTTGATTACTACTGCAAGTAGAGTTTTTGCTATTACTATTACTGCCAGAAGTATCATTCACTGAGGCTCGGACGGGTTTGTTTTTCTGTTTCGGAGGGTTAGGATATAGGGGGACGGGCTTTACTCTTGCTAGAAATACTTTACTAGCAACATTCCTATGACTATAATTTGTAGTAATATTATTGCTATTAGTGTTTTGTCTTTCTCCATGGGGGTGTGCAGAAACTCGGGCCCTCCTTAAGTATCTGGGAGCATAGAAGGGGACCCAACGCTTGGAGAACAGTATATTTTTTTGAAGTTTTTGTTGGCAACTGAACCCCCAAGACCAAAGCCAAAGCCAGCTTTCAAAAAGATAGTTACCTTAAACCTGAATCTAATGGTCTTTGCAGGGCGGCCCTTTTGGGGTTGCCAGGTTGGGCCACATGCTGCGGCAGAGCCTCAGGTAGCAGGGTTGCTCGCTGTAGGGTTCAGGGCTTCTGTCCTAACTTTAAACCCCAAACCCTAGGATTTATGGCTTACCCTAAACCTTAGGATCTAGGGTTTTAGGGTTTAGCGGTTACATTTTTGGGTTTAGGGGTTCGTTTAGCGGTTACATTTTTGGGTTTAGGGGTTCGCCTCCGTGGATGCAGAGCCCGAACCTCAACGTGCATACTTACAGAGTCGTAGGGACTGAGTAATTAGGTGAATCATGTGGATAACTGAGTTACTATATGGTTTGTAGGGGTGCTTCCAACATCATTTGGCTGAGCTTTTCGCTAGGTGAATTATTGCTCATCTTGCACTTGTGGCAGGATCGGAGGAAGGAGAGCGAGCCCAGAAGGGGTCGAGAGGCAGGGGTCCAAGGGTTTGGCTCAAGGCCTGTTGAGGCCCTTGAGGCGTTAGTGTTCAGGGTCTAGGGCTTAAGTGCCTTAGGATTTGGGGCATAGTGCCATCATGGTTGGCTAACTCACATGTATTACCCTATGTGCAAGGACAGAAGTATTGATGGGACCCAGTTTGGGGTTTCGTGCTAGTTTGGGGGAGTGTATGGGCACCATGTGTCCCTGAGTGAGAGGCTTGCAATGCAGAGTTCTTGGGTTGTCCCCGATCTGGCCGACATCTGCCCGACCCCCCGTTATATTCAAAGCTTCCGTCACACCTTCACTGTTATTAACTTACCGCTGGTTAGTGGGGAAGAAGGGAATACAATCCCTATATTTCCCATATATGATATTCCAGTCTCTTCCCTACTAACCCGGAGTAAGTTGATCATAAATATTCCCACGATCATCAGCTCTACACATGACTGTGGTATGTTGGAACCTTGGTAGTTAGGGGATTGAGGTTTCTTCTTCGGGGGGAGAAGATTAGTGTGTGGCTGAGCGCAGGTTTTGAGGTTTGTATAAGTTGCTTGCAGGCATTTTTGTGGCAACTGTACCGTACGCCAAGAGAAAATCCAATCTCTTCTTGTCTTGGAGTCAAAGGCTGAAGTATGTGGTAATTTGGGAGGTTCAATCCCTTCACCCCAATCCAAAGAACCCAAACCCTGATCCTTAAGCGCTACACATTAAGTCGTCTAGCTCCCACATGTCTTCAATGTCCTGGGTTGCTGTTAAGGAACTGTTACCATAATGGGTATATACAGTAAATAATAGGGTTTCCCCAATATAGTAACTTAAATTAAGTTCCTTAACAGCAACCCAATGTCTTCCGCAAAGTCGCACCTGCTGAGGACCGCGATGACCGCGGCAGAGACCGCCGAGGAGACCGCCGTGGCAGAGAGCGCTCCGAGGACTCCGGGGGTAATATGGGGATAATGGGAAAGAAAATGGAAACCACTATACTATAATGAAGTACATTATATAGGGGATTATATAGGGTTTCTATTGGGGTTATATAGGGATAATGGAAAAGAAAATGGAAACATGTAGGGGTTATGCAGGGGTAATGGAAAAGAACATGGAGACTACGAACTAGGGCATAGGGTTTAAGGGTCTAGGGTTGAGGGGTCTAAGGCTTTAGGGCTTGGGGCTATAGGGCTTACGTAGTTTTTGGGGGTGAATAGGTTCAGGGTTTTGGGGTCCTAGGGTTTGAGATTGAAGGATTTGCGGTTGGGTAATGGAAGTTTCCAAACATAGGGGTGCCCCTCATACTGCCCCACATACCTTACTACAACCATCCTGTGTACAAGAACCCCCAAAAAGGAGTCCCTAGCTGTTGTTCCTGCTGTCCAAAAAGGGGCCAATAGGCGCACGTCGAGGATCCCAATACATTTGGAGCCGTCTGGGATTTATTGTCGTGTGTCTCAGAAGAACGGCGCTCCATTTTAGGAAGCCTCTACTATCCTCAAAAGACCTTCTGAAATGGCTGACTGTTGAAGCCACAGTAATTTCTAACCTCAAAGAACCGTATAAGACGAGATAATGTAGTGTCCTCCCAATACCTATGGAGGCGCCCCTACATACAACCCCTAGTTGAGCCCAGCTTGCACACCATGAGTACATGCCTATATAGGCCTAAATCCCTAAACACGCTTAAACCCTGAACCCCCTAAACCCAACACCCCTATAGCCCTGAGGACCGCCGACGGGACGACCGCGGGCGAGATCGTCGAGGTGACCGACGGGGCCGCGACCGCTCAGAGGACTTCACTAGGGATGAATGTAGACATAGAGGCATATAGGGATGTGGGAATAAAGTAGGGACATGTAGGTTTTGAGACAGAGGCATCCTAATGGATACTACCGGGATTATAGCATTTGGGTAGAAGAATGGAGAATCATTTTATGTATCTGTAGATATCCTTATATGCATACAGCTATATATCCCTAAGTGTCCCTATTCCATATCCCTATATACAGACACTTATATTCTCTAAACCCTGCACTCTTCACCCACAACCCTGAGCCCTAAACAGAGGTCAGATCAATTTCCTCACCGCAGGACCGACGACGTGAGGACCGTGGCCGCGACCGACGCGGCGACCGCGACCGGGGTCGCGAACGCTCCGAGGCTCCCTAAAAAGGGGGGCTGTATAGGGCTCATCTAGAGATTATCTAGGGGTTATACAGGGTTTATGAAGGCTAGTATAGGAATTATGTGGGCATTAGTAAGGGTTATAAGGGATTCTGTAGGATTGTAAGGTGTCAAACAAGGATTCTTCAGGGATTGTGCAGGGTTATATAGTGATTATGGGGGCTTTATGGGATTGTGCAAGGATTACAAAGGATCATATGGGGATAGGTGCATTCTTCACCTGATTAAAGGATGATGTGGGGACTGGTGCATTCTTCACCTGGTTCGTATTTGCTTTACCGTAGTAATTATGCTCGACATGGACGGCAGGTAGAATCAGTACTTCTTTCTAGCCCTCCATCGCGTAGAGGAATCTGTTGCAGTGCAAGGGTGCTTGACTTTTTGGCGTACTGCGGTGTGTGATAAAGTACTTGCCCAAAACTGGGACCCCCCCCCAAAAAAAATATCCTAATCCTTGCTATGGGGAGCCCCAAGAAGGTACACCTTATTTTGGAAAAACTTCAAAAGTCTGGAATACACCCACACCATACGCATTCCGAAGCTGGACATGGAATGGACCCTAAGCCTAGGTTTCCCTGCTACCCCCTCTATACTAC